TAGATGTTCCCCCAAGGGAGAAAGCGCTAAGAAGATGAACAGAAATGTATGATAGTTTTGTAGACGACAAACCGAAGAGTTGTCCGTGCATACGTAACAAGCCACCATAACCAAATTGCCCATTTTAGTTTCGCGTATAATGATTTCATTTCAAATTTTCATATTTTTTTTGTTGTTGATTTATTTCAAACTTTCACCAATTTTTTTATCATATGTTTCTTCTTTCATACAAATGAAATAAGAAAAATTGAATTGCACTTGAAGGGATATCATCAATACGACGTTATAAACACTTTGTGCAGTTGATATAAGATTAGAGATGCCACAGTTTTTAAAAGGATGAAAAAGGAATGAACAATTGAGGGAAAAAAATGAAAAAAATTGATGTGGTAGGACAAAATGAGACACGGATGAAATATCATGGCGCTCAAAAATAACTGGAGCGAAGCGGTTTATTTTAAAATCTTTTAAAAAGTAGATATGAAGTGGACAATACTTCAACTTCTGCAAACAGGTAAGCGAGCTATAAAATTAGAGAAATAAGCGAACTATAGAAAAAAAAGGAAATACAATTATTTCAGGTTTTACAAATACTTACGTTAAAACAGACCACGTCGAATTCATGTAGCCTGTGTAAAATCGTAAAAATAAAGTCATGAGAAAACTAAAGAAGCATATGAGAAAGCACAAAGCTTTTATTTTACGATATAGCTCTTTATTCCCCCAAACCACTTTCATTCATACGGAATATTTAATCTTTTTTGTATACAGCGTTCCTTGGCGAATATATGTATACAAACTTCGAGTTGGAAACAATGGTCACAGGCCGAACTATCGATGAATTTAATCGTAGAAAATGTTCGGGCTTTCATATCTTGCTGACCAATACATTTTTGGACTGATTTGCGTCATTTCGTTGAAATATCAAATAGTCGGCATCTATTATGTGGGAATATGTTGTGCTACACAGTCAAATGATTTAACGTGCACTGACAGAACCTCATACAAATTTGATCTTACCCGTCATTGCTGACGTCATAGGCCAGTCGAATTCGTTCTCTACAATCATTGCGACATCTTTGAACACTTCCTGTAATACAGATTAGAATAATACGTTCGGCTAATTTCGTGGGTTTTTTTTAAATAGCGTTAACAAAATAATAAGACATTTTGCCCCCATGAATATCAGAAATGCATTATTGACAAATTATATGTTTTCAGTTAACTCGACAGTTCAACAAAAATGTATCTTGAGTAGTCAATCTTATTTATATCATAAATGTAAATTAGCTTGAATGTAATATGTTTATTAATTTGTTGCAAATGAAAATCAATAAATACCTGTGGAGGGAAAAGCATGGGAAAACATTAAAACTTTTTTTTTTTTTAAATGGGGGTTTGAAAATGATACGGAAAGGATAAAACGAAGTATGTTGATAAAACAAGAATAAAAGAAAAGAAAAACAGAAATAATAATTATCCTAAATTAGAATGTGGTTGACAAGTGAAAATACAAAGGAAGAGAAACGGAGAGGAAACAAGAGGTTAGAGAGCCTAAAATCTATCTGGAAAGAGTTGGAAAGAGAGAAAGAGAGAGAGAGAGAGAGAAAATAAGAGAGAGAGAAAATAAGAGAGAGAGAGAATAAAAGAGAGAGAGATAGAGAGAGACAGAGATAGAATAAGAGAGAGATAGAGAGAGAGAACAAAAGAGATAACATGGAAGGATGGGAGAGAGAACTGGATAGGTATATGAGCAAGATGGAGAGAGAACCAAGTAGAGAACGAAGGAAGGTAGAGAAGCGTAGGTAATATTATGAAGATTTATTTTACAGTGTTTCAGTATCTAGGCTACTTATTACCAAGCTGAGTTCTGAAGCAGTGAACCATTCTTTGGGTAGATGGAAGTGCGCCCCTGCGGAGTCACCGAGGAGGATGGTGCCCATTCGCTTGGTTTCTCCGCACAGCGTCTCTTCGAACGGCTTCATAACTTTTGGATCAATACCCTTTACATGGTATGAGGGAGAGAGAGAGAGAGAGAGATAGAGAGAGAGAGAGAGAGAGAGAGCGGGGGAGGGGCAAATAGAGGGGGCAACAAAGAGGGAGAGGGGTAGGGATACAGAGGGAGAGAGAGAGAGAGAGAAAGAGAGAGAGAGAGAGAGAGAGCGAGAGAGAGAGAGAGGGAGGGTTTTCCCATGTAAACTTGTTGCCAATTTTTGGTAAAGTTGTTGCCTGTGAATGGTAAAGTTGTTGCAAAAATGGTAAATGTGTTGCTTTTTTTACCGATTTGGTAAAGTTGTTGCCCAAAGCAACAACTTTCCATATGAAAATTGGTAAATGTGTTGTCATCACCATTGACAATACACACGAGCCTGCTCCTGCGTGTATTATCGCATAGACTTTAAAAGAGGCTACCAAGGCGCTTGATGGATGCGCATGCTGCATGCATGGAGTCCTACATATATACATGTATGTACAGTTTGACAGAATGATGGTGTTATGGGTGAGTAATTATACTTGTTGCCTTATCATCTTTGTTGTATTGATTATCTTGACTAATTGATTGCCACTGTGACTGTGACTGTGCTGTCGTAGAACGGTTAGTTATAACACTAGTAACAGTAAGATCAAGTAATGTGTACAACAACTTACAAGTCAATGTTAATTAAATCAGGGTAGGCCTAGCCGCCTACATACATTATTGTATGTATCTTCAATAAATTGGCATTAGGCCTACATCATGTACATGATGTACATGTCAGATCATGCAGGTACTAATATACTATAAATACTAGTACTATAACTGTAGTTTAGTGTTACTGTGTTGTTTGATTTGGACTAGTGTAATGTTAGGTTTGTATATACTGTAGTATCTGTAGAGGGTCTAGACAAGGACAGGTACCTAATTTATAGAATGTTATTAAGAAGAAATCACTGGGGGAACGAACAGCTAGCAGCTACATCATTAGACGGGGTCCAGACAACTCGCCACAAAGACATCTCCACCCTGGACAACTCGACACAATACCCTGGACATCTCGCCACAATACTCTGGACAACTCGCCATGGTCGAGTTGTCCAGGGTATTGTGGCGAGATGTCCAGGGTATTGTGTCGAGTTTTCCAAGGGCGAGCTGTCTTTAGGGCGAGTTGTCTGGGATTACTATAGGCTAGATCTACATAACATTAGTACTGATTTAGTCTTATTTCAGTAATTATATTCACATACTACAACCCTTGAAAATGTTTCCATCATGTCATAAATCCCGAACATATGCACTGGCGTAGCTAGAGTCAGAAGTTGAGGGGGGACTAGCTGGCATCATACGGGGGCACAGGTCTAGTCAGAAAATTGAATGCAAATTTACGATCAGGGGGGAAGGGGTCTAATCGTCTTCTTTTATCTTCCTTTTCCTTTCCCCTTCTTTTTTCTCTCTTTTTCTTTTTTCTTTCCTTTTTTTCATTATTCGATCGGAGGGGGGGGGGGGGGGGGGGGGGGAGGGCCTCAATCGCCTACATGTATGTATTCTAATAATAGATGCACAGACAAAGGGCTCCCCATCATACAACTACAAGACTGAAGCTTTGGTCGAGTGGGGGGGGGGGGGGGGGGGGGGGGGGTCCATGGCAGTTTCTAAGGTTAAAAACTAATTTTTAAAAAGCCAACCAATCTTGTGTTTTCAGCTAATTTCTTTCACAGTACTGGTACTTTGGTTTGTTATACATCCTGATGTGGATAGTTGTGAAATTTAGAACGATAAATATCAACAATTCAAATTTTCAAGTCCATATTGTTTTGATGCTCGTGTATGGGCAAGTCCAAGGTATTTGGTAATTTTGTGTCATATGTGTTTCATAAGTTATTCTGTAAATATTGAATCAGAATCAAATTAGTCTTTGCTTGGGTAAGCAGAGCAAGTACGTTTTGAAAAGACTTTACATTTTTACATTTTAAAAACTGTATTTTTCCACTATTTGTTAGTCGCTTCTAAGAATGAAATTTCAAATCAACCCCCAAAAAAACTTCCCAAAACTAATTGTGGGGGAGGGGGCAGAGGGCCAATTGGCTCTGCTGGTTAATATAGCAGCCCTTTTACGTACCCCTTGTTTTGCAGGGGTGATCTACAGGGGTAACCTCGCTATTCATAAAACGGAAAAGGGGTCACTATTCATAAAGGCATGATTATTTATAAGGACCTATTCATAATGTGAGATGAGGGCAGCTATTCATAATTCACATTAAGGGTCATTACATAGTATACAAATAATGAATGGTTATGAGTTCAATAGTGCGAATATGTTCATGAGTTGAAAGATTAACATTCTATTCAACGAGGCGTCAGCCGAGTTGAATAGAATTAACGTTAATCTTTCAACGAATGAAAATATTTGCACTATTAAACGAATGAAAAACATTCATTATTTGTTTTATACAACATCGAAGAAGACCTAATAGAACGTTAATCAACAAATTATGCTTTACTCCTTATAAAGATAAATTAAAGTTCGAGTCAAGCCTTTTCGATTACATGCAGATTGCCTTCGCGTCAGATACACGCAAGGATACGCGCACTATTCATAACACGGGAACAGGGTTGCTATTCATAATACTAGAAGAGGGTCGCTATTCAATTCTATGAGAAGAGGGTTGCTATCCATAATACGAGAAGAGGGTCGCTATTCAATTCTATGAGAAGAGGGTTGCTATTCATAATACGAGAAGAGGTCGCTATTCAATTCTATGAGAAGGGGTTGCTATTCATAATACTAGAAGAGGGTCGCTATTCAATTCTATGAGAAGAGGGTTGCTATTCATAATACTAGAAGAGGGTCGCTATTCAATTCTATGAGAAGAGGGTTGCTATTCATAATACGAGAAGAGGTCGCTATTCAATTCTATGAGAAGGGGTTGCTATTCATAATACGAGAAGAGGGTCGCTATTCAATTCTACATGTATGAGAAGAGGGTTGCTATTCATAATACGAGAAGAGGGTCGCTATTCAATTATATGAGAAGAGGGTTGCTACATGTATTCATAAACATGAGGAAGGTGCGCTATTTATAATACGAGGAGAGGGTCGCTATTCATAATATGAGAAGAGGGTCGCTATTCATAATATGAGAAGAGGGTCGCTATTCATAATATGAGAAGAGGGTGGCTATTCATAATACAAGAAGAGGGTGGCTATTCATAATACGAGAAGAGGGTAACTATTCATAATATGAGAAGAGGGTCGCTATTCATAATACAAGAAGAGGGTGGCTATTCATAATACGAGAAGAGGGTAACTATTCATAATATGAGAAGAGGGTCGCTACTCATAATACAAGAAGAGGGTGGCTATTCATAATACGAGAAGAGGGTAACTACCCATAAGGACCAAGAAGAGGGTCGATATTCAATTCTATGAGAAGAGGGTTGCTATTCATAAACATGAGGAAGGGGCGCTATTTATTTGTATTGAGGGTCCGTACCCATAAGGACCGAGAAGAGGGTCGCTATTCATAAAACAAGAAGAGGGTCGCTACTCATAATACGAGAAGAGGGTCGCTACCCATAAGGACAGAGAATAGGGTTGCTATTCATAATACAAAAAGAGGGTCGCTATTCAATTCTATGAGAAGAGGGTTGCTATTTATAAACATGAGGAAGGGGCGCTATTCATAATTTGTATTGAGGGTCACTATTCATAATACGAGAAGAGGGTGGCGATTTATAATACGAGATTATCAAGATTTTTAGCCAAATAAGATATGATTTTGTGACCGTCATGCCATATGCAATCAGTGCTGGCGTCCCCTGTATTATGTCTTTCTTTAAAGGTAAAGACCAGTAATGGTCATGCGATTGCATTGTGAAAGAAACGTTGTGGAATCGATCAGAAAAGGTTGATCATCTAGCATCTAGCATCTGCAAGGTTCTGGAATCATCAAAATGATAGGAAATTTGGCCCATTCTTCGTAAAGTTACAAGCACTATACACAGAAAGATGTATATGGGACTACCCTTTATCTCTCACCAGACCATGAGAGAAACAAATTTACCAAATATATGAATTAGTAGGCGGTTTCCCGGCAAATTTTTTATCATCATGTATTAGTCAAAACATATTCTTTCACATGATTGGTAATGAGAGCTTCCATTTCATTTTTTGAAATTGGGGCGTTTCCAATACTGGTCTTTACCTTTAAAAGTATATATTACCTTTTATCTTTGATAATTATATAGAGACATCCTCATAACCTAGCTAATATATTTGCCCCACTTCTGTGATGACAAAAATAAAGTAAAGCATAACAACTTATCCTATCATAATTTGTCCCCATTGTGAGAAATCTTGCCCCACCACTCTGCCCCTTACTGATCTTATCCTGGCTACGCCACTGAGACATTAAGTAGAACAAGCAGGCCCATGCTATTTTAGAAACTAGTAATTGTTTATACAGCAATGTTTTAGTAGGAAATGGTTTTTAATAGGACCTATGGACGTACAAATTATATAGCCTTAGCCATATGTCATATCCAGTGCCAAAAGTCAAGGACAGGCACCCAGAAGCTTTTCAATTTTCGCCAATGTAGAGTTTCAAGATTTTCAATACATACACCTGTACCTCAGGATACTAGTACCGGTAATCATACTAATTAACCTAACTCTATTCATCCACAATCTTGATTTCCTGAAGCTTTCCTAACACCAAAAACATTAGGAGTTGGACTGGACCAGAAGCTAAGTAATTCCCTGTAGAGAGGCGGGGAGGGGGGGGGGGGCACTTTGATATTGTGTTTTGTTTGGGGAAAAGGGGGCTTGAACACTTTTGGACCTTTGAGGTTTTTCGCAGTAATGCAATCTGAATATAAACCAAACATTTACTGTCTTTTTTTGTTGGGTGGGGGTGGTGATGATGATGGGTAAGGAGGTCTGATATAAGGTCTAGTTCAACAACAACAACAACAAAAATATGTGAGAAATTTGGTTATGTTATTATTTTGGGGGTGGGATATCTAGCCCTTGTAGCAACAAGGGGGCAGGATATAATGATAAATACAGAACAAAAACAGGAAAAATATGGAATGTAAATACAAATATGCGTGCAGGTTCAGAAAAAGTTTAACATTAATCAATTTGAGACATGATAAATTCAAAGCAAACACGGAAAATACACGCAATAATTAATCAAATCCATTTCTGCATGCATTCTGGTTCACACACGATATATAAAGAATCAATAACTTTAAACAGCCAAACCAAAATATAAAATTACAATAAAGTGAACAAACCAAACGAGGTCGACATAAATTGTCATGAAACAAGATAGATAATTGCAGAACAAACACATCATTACATATGAAATATCCCCAGCCCCCTGCCCTTTATGCCAATGATGACAACTCGGACATTCAGATGTCAGACATTTATATTTATTTCTGGGGGGCTGATTGATGATTGGGGGCCCGGGATGATGGGTTGTTTAGATTATTGGGGCATGCCTTTTTTCTTTAAT